ATTAGCTGGGCATGGTGGCGCGTGCCCAGCTAATTTTTTGTATTTTTAGTAGAGACGGGGTTTCACCATGTTGACCAGGATGGTCTCGATCTCTTGACCTGGTGATCCACCCGCCTCGGCCTCCCAAAGTGCTGGGATTACAAGCGTGAGCCACCGCGCCCAGCCTCTTTTTTTCTTTTGAGACAGAATCTCGCTCTGTCACCCAGGCTGGAGTGCAATGGCATGATTTCGGCTCACAGAAACCTCTGCCTCCCAGGTTCAAGTAATTCTCCTGCCTCAGTTGGAGTACATGTTACCATGTAGCTGGGATTACAGGCTTGAGCCACCACACCTGACTAATTTTTGTATTTTTTGGTGAGACGGGTTTCCACCACATTGGCCAGGCTAGTCTCAAACTCCTGGCCTCAAGTGATCTGCCAGCCTTGGCATCCCAAAGTGCTGGGATTACAGGCGTGAGCCACTGTGCCCAGCCCCAAGAACAGAGCTTAAGCGGGAAAATAAACTGTGCCTGATCCTAATTCTCTTTCTTCTCACACTTCCTAGAATGAGGACAGATTCTTTAGTCCTTTTCTCCTGGTTCAACATAAAACAGCCTCAAAATTGGCCAGGCACGGTGGCTCACACCTATACTCCCCCACTTTGGGAAGCTGAGGAGGGTGGATCACCTGATTCAGGAGTTTAAGACCAGCCTGGCCAACATGGGTGAAACCCCGTCTCTACTAAAAATACAAAAATTCGCTGGATATGGTGGCACATGCCTGTAATTCCAGCTACTCAGGAGGCTGAGGCAGGAGAATCGCTTGAACCCAGGAGGCAGAGGTTGCAGTGAGCCAAGATCGTGTCACTGCACTCCAGCTTGGGGGACAGAGTGAGACTCTGTCTCAAAAAAAAATAATAATAATAATAAAGATAAAAAATAAAACAGGCTCAAACTTAAATGAGGGATTCTTTTTTCTTTTTTTGAGGCAAGGTCTTGTTGTATTGACCAGGCTAGACTCTAACTCCTGGGATCCAACTGATTCTCCCACCTCAGCCTCCTGAATAGCTAGGATCACAGGTGCAAAACATCACACCTGGTTGGTGAGGGAAATTTTAAATAGTCCGCTAGAAATCTTTCAGTTAAATTTATTTGAGCTCTAATCTTTTCTATTGATACAACTAAAGCAACAATAAAGGTAGGACTAAGGCTATATCTACAGTGGAATGAGCCACCAGGATGATGAACAATGATCCCTTTGGAATATGATTTGCAGGTCACAGAGCACCTTCACATAATATATCTCATACAACAGAGCATTTTGTAAACCTTACATACAAATACAATGTATCTGTATTATGATTTTTGCACTGGACACGATACATCGTTATACTGTACTGTAAATCCAGCCCTGCCCCAATTCTCAGTGTTAATTTAGTTAGTTCAGAAAAGGAAAAGGTCTTAGCATGCTGTTTATCCGGAGTTAGAATTGGAGTTGATTATCTTTTCTTATGGACAGAAACAAGTTAAAATTAACCAGTGAGAGCTATTAAAACACTTATTTGCTAAATTCCTCTTTCAATGATATACTTGTTTCTTAGGAAAAATAATTTTTTAATTTTTTACTCACCACTTCTATTTTCTTACATGGTAATAAAAAAATGGTCCATTGACTTTTACACATATATTTCAGTACCTAGGGTGGCATAATATGCCATTGAGAGCTCTGGCTTTAGAGTTAGAATTCTTGAGAATGAATATAGACTCCGCTTCTTCCTAACTATATCACCTTAAACAAGTTATTTAAACTTTCTGAGTCTTGGTTTCACAGCTAAAAAGTTAAGAGGATAATAATACCAACTTCACACAGTTTCAGGGAGGCTTAATTAAAACAAAGGGCTTAGAAAAAGGCCTAATATATATATAATAGTAAATGTCCAATAGATATTAGCTATTATTTTCAATATTGGTGATTCATGATTATCATAAAATCAGTGGTCCTCAAAAGCAATAGGTATGTGAACTTATGTATGTAGTATGTACATACTATATAGTTAATACTATATACATACTACATATAATACTATATACATACTATTTTTTAAAAATGTTTGGGAGACAAGGTCTTGCTTTGTTGCCAAGGTTGGAGTACAGTGGTACAATCATGGCTCACTGCAGCCTCAAACTCCCAGGCTCGAGTGACCTTCCTTTCTCAGCCTCCTGAGTAGCTAGGACTACAGGCACATACCACAATATCTGGCTAATTTTTAAATTTTTTGTAGAGACAGGGTCTTACTATGTTGTCCAGGCTGGTCTTGAATTCTTGGCCTCAGATGATCCTCCCACTTTCGCCTCCCAAAGCGTTGAGATTACAGACATGAGCCACCATGCTTGACCAATTTAAGTAATTATTAAGGCAGTTCAGTATTTATTTGTGAGAATAAAATAACACAGAGCTCTTTCTAGACCAGGGGGTGGACAAACTCAGCCTGAAGGCAAAACCTGGTCCACTGCCTGCTTGCATATAACCTGTGAACTAAAAAGAGTTTTTACATTCTTAAACAGCTAAAAATCAAAAGAATAATAGTTTGTGCCATGGGAAACTTACAAGAAATTAACATTTCAGTGCCCACAAATTAAATTTATTGGAAGACAGCTATGCTTATTCATGAACATATTGTCTATGGCACCCTTCATGCTACAAGGACGGAGTTAGAGACAGAGACCATATGAAACACAAAGCCTAAAATATTTATTACATGGCAGAAAAAGTTTGCCAATTTCTGGTCTAGACTGTTAGCTCTATGATGGTAGAGACAGATGAGGCCTAGCTCAGTGCCTGAGTCCATTAATGAATGAATGTGGAACCCACATGAAAAGCCTGAGATTGGGCTCCTCATATGTGATAAAGATGGTTGTTCTCAAACAACAGAGACCCTTTTTGAAAACTGGGTAAGAGTGCACTGCCCCAGTCTGTGCAGTCTAGTGAGGGTCTTTGCCATCCTATGATTCTAATGGTGGAATTTGAGGCCACACTGAAGAGAGTAGGGAAAGGGGACATCAAAAGGACAAACTAACAAAAGAATTCTGCATTCATCAAAACATCCTATTAAGACAATATTAGAATCACAAAAACACCAGAGAATTCACTTGGGAAAAAATCATATTAAAAAAATCCTATGGGCTTAGTTTACCTCAAGCCTATTTTTAGATATGGCTGCTTAAAAGGTTCACAAAGTCTTAAGCTGCTATATATAAGTATGCTCCGAATCACAGTAAATGTTAGATCTTACTGTACTCTGTGTTAGTTAGACAATATCCAGAGTGTCATGTTCAACTTACAGAGCCTTATTTTTAAGGTAAGTTAGTGACATTCTGGTTTCTAGAGGTGAGCTATCTGCATGGTGATAGGTCTAATCTAGGTACCATTCAAACAAGGCAAGTTGATGGAACTGGAGAATATTTGCCATAGAGATGAAATTGTAGTGCCCAATATAAATGAACGTAATTCATATAAAACACTTAAGAGTGCCTGGCACATAGGAGATACTCAATAAATACAAGCTTTGTGGGAGGCCATGGCAGATGGATCAACCGAAGTCAGGAGTTTGAGACCAGACTGGCCAACATGGTGAAACCCTGTCTCTACTAAAAATACAAAATTTAGCTGGGCGTGGTGGTGCACACCTGTAATCCCAGCTACTCAGGAGTCTGAGGCAGGAGAATCCTTGAACCCGACAGGGGGAGACTGCAGTGAGACAAGATGGCACCAGTGCACTCCAGCCTGGGCGACAGAGCAAGACTCCATCCCAAAATAAATAAATACATGCATGCATGCATGCATGCATACATACATACATACATATAAGCTTTGATCATTAGAACCATCAACTGAAGTATTATAATGTAAAAGAAGCTAACCTTATTGCTATATCCTTAGAAGGTATAATCATATCCACAACTGCAAATCAGGTTGCTAAATCAGCCATACATAAATTATTACAAATGTTATTAGTTTATGGCAAAGTTCACTTATAATTTTTTATCAGGTGATATTTATATCACTAATATTCAGTTCACTTTTCTATGTCTACTAAAGAGACTTTGGCAAATGATTTAACTACTTCTGTTCCTCTAAAACAAGGGGTGCAAAAGACATTTATTGTTCACTGAATATCCATGTGCTTCCTCTCACTTCTAGGCCCTTGCTGTTAAGCAGGGTGATGAGATTAGCTCTAGCCAATAGGCTGTGAGTCAAAGTGATTTCTGTCACTCTAGGCCAAAGCATTTCAGAGCTAGTATGTGATCATCCAGTTTCCCTTCCTCTGGTGGGACCACTTGAAAGCCCCATGTTAAGAAAGCAAAGTCACAAAAATCACAGCAGCCTGGATTTCTGAGTCATTGCATATAGGTCAGCTGCCCTGCAGAACAGCCAATACACACTGGCATTTACATGTGCAAGATAGCAATGGAGATTTCAGGGTTAATTTGTTACTGTAGCACAGACTACTCTATCCTGACCAATACAGAGAGTCTGATATTTTGATAATATAGAAAGAAACTTTGTATCGATCTATGATTAATCATCTTGGGGAGTTTACAAAAATTAGCTGAATAAGCCGGGAAATATTCCAAACCTTCCTGAGACAGCTATCTGTGCAACTTTATTATTTCTATTTCACTTCAAGTCCATTCACAGATTATTACTACATCTACTCCAATTCAAAGATAAATATTTCAAATCAAATCCTCTCTGCTACTCACCTATTACAAAAACTTGGGAGGTGACTAAGACATACATTGAGCAATATGACCACTAGCAAACATACTCACCTAATGTTGTTCTCCCACATAACTCCCTGCCTGCTTTATGACCCTTGGGCTTCATTTTCAGAAGACTTGTGGCAGGAATTAGTGCCCCAGGCAAAGCTGGAGTAGTTTTCCTTTGTTAGCAGTCAACATGCCCGCAGTTAATTGGACTGGCCAATTTCAGTGGGGCCCTAAACACAGAGAGATGCTATCTCCTTTGGCTGGCAGTAAAAATATCCAGTAAGGTAAGGACTCAAGCCTGTGTCCTTTGATACATTCCTGGTTTAAAACCACTGGAAACTCTGGACGCTAGCAGGAAGCAGGGTATAGGCTTCCACAGCCCTTAGTTCAAATCTTAGCTCTTCTACTGACAAGCTATGTGAGTCTCAGGCCTAATGACACTGTCTCTCTGAGCCTCAGTTCCTACCCTCTTCACAAAGCATTTTGAGAATTACTGGAATTGATGTCAGCGGAAGTACTCAATATATATTGGATACTTGCTGCCATAATGCAATGGAATTCTAAAAGTTAATCTGAATTTCTATTAACTTGATGTTTTATTACAAGCAACACAACATTCTCTGCTACATTTAAAGCAGTGAAAAATGTATCTTTGGCTTTACCCTTAGGTTAGATGCTGTCTCTTATGAGTCATGAAAATAAACTTCACTACCTAATGTGATAATCTTTCAATGTGATCAAACTCTTATTAGGAAAACATATCTTGAATTAAATTTCTGCTCATCTTCCAGAGGCAACTGAATTTTTTAAATTCCTAAGAATTTCCCAGTCAAGCACAGTAGATGGCTCATGCCTACAATCCCAGCACTTTAGGAGGCCAAAGTGGGAAAACTGCCTGAGCCCAGGAGTTTGAGACCAGCCTGGGCAACATGGCAGACCCTGTCTCTAAAAATAAATAAAATAAAATAAGATAAATTTTAAAAATAAAAATAAAATAATTTCCCCAACTACATTCTGCTGATTTCCAATTCTGATCATGTATTTTTATACTCCAAGTAAGTTTCTCTGATAGTAAAAATCAATGTCACCACAGGCTAACCATAAAAAAAAAATTTTCAGACAAATTCCAACATTGGAGCATTCTACAATGTACCTGACTGCTGTTCCTCAAAACTCTCAAGATCATCAAGAAACAAGGAAAGTCTGAGAAACTGTCACAGCCAAGAGAAGCCTATGGAGACACAGAAACTAAATGTCATGTGGTATCCTAGATGTGATCCTGGAACAGAAAAGGGATTTTAGCTAAAGACAAAGGAAATATGAATGGACTTTAGTGAATAATATAACGAGATAGGTTCATTAATTATAACAAATATGTCATACTAATTAATATAAGATGTTAATAATAAAGCCAGGCACAGTGGCTTATGCCTGTAATCCCAACACTTTGGGAAGCTGAGGCAGGCGGATCACAAGGTCAAGAGATCAAGACCATCCTGGCCAACATGGTGAAATCCTGTCTCTACTAAAAATACAAAAATTAGCTGGGCGTGGCAGAGCACACCTGTAGTCCCAGCTACTTGGGAGGCTGAAACAGGAGAATCGCTTGAAGCCGGGAGGCAGAGACTGTAGAGAGCCAAGATCATGCTACTGCACTCCAGCCTGGTGACAGAGGGAGACTCCATCTTTATAAAAAAAAGATGTTAATAATAGAGTAACAGTATGTCACTGTGGAGGTATATGGGAACACTGTTTCATCTGCTTCATTTCTTTGTAAATCTGAAACAGTTCTAAAAGATAAAGTCTATTAGATTTTTTTAAGTCACCACAATGTGATACCACTTCACATGTATTAAAATGGCCATAATTTAAAAGACAGATAATAAAGCACTGGTGAAGCTGTGAAGAAACAGGAACTTCCATCCATTGCTGGTAGGAATGCAAAATGGTGTAGCTGCTCCAGAAAACAGTTTGGCAGTTTCTCAAAACGTTAAGTGTAGATTTACTATATGACCCAGCAATTCCACTTCTGGGTATATGCCCAAGAGAAATAAAAATAAATTTCCCTAAAAAAACCGTTCGCAAATGTTCACAGCATTAATATTCATAATAGCCCCAAAGAGGAAACAACTCCAATGTCTATAAACTGAAGGATGAATACATAAAATATGGTATGTCCACATAACAGCATATTATGCACAGCCATGAAAAGAAGTCTTAATGTGTGCTACAACATGAATGAACCTTGACAACATTGTACTAAGTGAAATAAGCCTGACACAAAACGCCACATATTATATGATTCCATTTATTTGAAAGTTCAAGAATAGGCAAATCTATAGACAGAAAGTAGATTAGGCATTGCCTAGGGTAAGGGCAGTTAGGGAAGAAACAGTAGAAAATGAGGAAAGTGCTAATGCATACACGGCAATGAAAATATTGTAAAATTGACTATACACTTTAAATGGGCAAATTGTAGGCTATTATATTTTAATAAAACTGTTATTTTAAAAACAATGTCATGTGTATCAAGAATACTGATGGGACATTATTTAATCCTATTCAAAGTGAAGATTTTAACAATATGTGGTTGATATGAAACCTTTAATTTCTCTGAGAAGTCCTGCTGCTTGCTTTAGTAATACCCTTAGGGCCTCAGGGCATGATATAGTTAAAAAAAAAAAGAAAAAAAATCCTAAAATTGTGCATAAGGAAGTTCTAAATGAACCTTGGTATCTTTTCTAGATTAAATGAGCAACATGTACATCACAAGGTCTTCTTTAAGCGTGCCTGAGATGTGAAACAGTATGTAGAATATTCCCACTGATATTTAATAATACATTAACGTGCAAAAATGGGTACCCTATTGTACACTGCTTCAGGATTCAGTCATTTCCTCTGAATTACTAGAAAATTACAATGTTTTCAGTTCTCCCATTATTTATTGTCCTACTGGTATGAGAAATGCCATAGTAACCTTGCAGAGATACTTCAATTAAGGCTTAGTTTCCCACAGAACAATATGTATTACATAGGGAGAATATAACTTTGTAAAATATTTAGAAAGTTTAATCTTCTTATCCTACATATTCCAGAGGTACATTAGCAGGAAGCATAAGTTTAAAAAAAAACTTTATTCAAGATAAAAGAGATGGATATTTTCCCATGTTAATCAACTCTTGTTTCAAGAATTCGTTTCACTGTTAACATTAGATAAACTATGATGCTCCATAGTTGAGGGTTAGCCATAAAATACATTTAGACTTTTATAAAACTTGCATCTAAATTCATAGAGAAATTATTTTATCTGGCCAGTAACAGAAGAAAATATGAATTGGCCGGAAGATCATTATGTTTGGAGCTAGACTGAAGTCCCATGAGGATATGGACTCTACATCTGTCTTGGTCATCACTGTAATCCCAATGCTAAACCCTGACATTTGGCTGTGTGTGGTGGCTTTTACCTGTAATCCCAACACTTTCGGAGGCCAAGGTGGATGGATCATGAGGTCAGGAGATCGAGACCATCCTGGCTAACACAGTGAAACACTGCCTCTACTAAAAATACAAAAAATTAGCCGGGCATGGTGGCACATGCCTATGATTCCAGCTACTCCAGAGTCCAAGGGAGAAAAATTGCTTGAACCTGGAAGGTGGAGGTTGCAGTGAGCCAAGATCGTGCCACTGCACTCCAGCCTGGCAACACAGCAAGACTCTGTCTCAAAAAAATAAATAAACCCTGACATTTTTTCAAATGTTGAAATTATAAGACTCAGTTATGAGTTCAATCTCTACCACTACCTAATCAGGCAACCTCAAGCAGGCAAGTAATTCTCAATGCCTTGGCCACTTGTCAGTGAAAGGAAGCAAAATCAGAAAGCTTTTTAAAATA